ATAAAATACCTGAATATGGATAACAAATGAAGACAATTTCAAAACATTTTCTCTTTTTAGAATCATCGGCATGTGCACCTAGTTCGAGTCCATTGACAAAGAAAGACAATTCAAAAACAACGTCAAATAAGAAGAATAACATTGACAATAAGGATAACAAGAGTAGTAAGGATGAAAGGAGAAGCAGTCAATCGAGAAGGTTTAAGGATGGTATTGATTTAATTCGTTATAATCTGTACAAAATTGGATCTGTTAAGTCAATAGATGCGAGTAAGAAATATAACGAGAAAATTGTTATGTAACAATTTTCGTGATCATTTTGATTATATTCAACCGATTTTTACTTGAAAATCATTCGTGAGCATTACTCCATTTTGATTTGTGAGAATTCATCGGAGTTTGTTGAATACCGGAACTTTTTTGAGTAGACATTCAAAGAGGTGTAAGATAGCTCTCAGATCTGTTGTTTCGTTTTGTCCGTGATTTGTTCTGAGTTATAAATTAGTGTGTTCTTATGGAACAATAATCCTCACGATCATGTTTGGTACAATTATTTACTATGCTTCTCCCTGAAAGAGTGATACAATTCTGTGTTGTACTTTAGTACAGTAGTGAACTCCCAAAAAAGACAAATGTATTGTACTGTATCAGCCCGCCGACCGTTCCAAAACAAATGTACTGTACTGGAGTACATCTTGAAAAGTACAATATACTCGTACTATATCAAATCTATTAGCTCCCATGACCATAGAGAAAGTGAATTTGTTAGTTTGTGGGTAAATCAATAGCTATCCGCAATTTTGCCACGATACACCTTAATTTTGCTACAATTTGCCTCAATTTTGCTACAACTTATGTGAAGTGAGTTTGTTGTATTCTTGCATATGCTGAATGAAATTTTGAACCGGATTCTGATTCAGAAAGTTTAAGCACGACCGTTGCAGTGATACTTTCCTCGAAAAATAGCACAAGAACAAAGGTCTGTTTTTGCTGTGAAATCACTTCAGATTTATCTCATTATGTGCTTACAAATCTCTTCGTGAGCTTACAAATCATGCTGCACACGAGTTTAGCTGAAATTTGCACTCCATCGGTTGATCATTTGATGTTATATTTGAGTTTTAACGCTAACAAACGTTTTGCATTTAATCGTCACCCTTTTATTGTTCATTGTTTAAATTTTAATTTGTCCACTTTATAATTCGATCCGCTTTTGCGATGTGAAAGAAAAACATCACTTTACAATTGATCATATCGATTCGCATTGATGTACATAATTTATTGCTGTTATTGTTGTGAATGAAGATTCAGTTGCTTTAATTCTATTTTAACGTATTAGTTTGGTGCATGAGCATTTCAGTGTGAATGGGTACATAAATGTATTTTCAGCATTTGTAGCGTTTCAGATTGTGAATAAACTCGCGGCTTTGCATTTCGATTTTATGTGAATAAAGTTTTTGATGCGTTCTTTTTGTCTCTGATTTGTATCTGTACCAAGTATGATAAATGCAACTTGCTGAATAACATTCCAACGCAACTATCAAATCCATTCAAATATCCAACAAACATTTCCAATGTAATTGAATTTAACTGAGTCGTTTTCTCATTGTTCCGTAAGAATTATTCGCTGAGTAGCGGAATCTTGCGCAAAACATCAAACAGAATTCAAATATGATGACTTAATTCGGAGTGATCTGAGAGGAAAGATCAAAAAGCACTGACCAAATCTTAAATGAATCAGCAGTTTTGTGTATAAATGAACCATAAATGATCGATCGGTCATGTCCTCCGGAAAATCAAATGAGCAGTTGTGATAGCTGAAGTGAAATCTGGAAATTTTGTGGCCATTGTATATTTGATTATCTTAAGGTCTGAGTTGGTTATTACGTTGTCGATAATGTGATCTGTACAAATGAGACTCATTAAGAGAATCAGCGAAATGTAAACATCATATAAAATCATTCGACGAGTTTCTCTCTTCGGTAAAATGGTTCCGAAAATCATGAGAATGCTGAGTAGAGTGTGACCCGTTGCGATTTCAATCGCTAAAATGCGGAAACGTCGACCAGTCAGCCAACTTATCATGAAGGGTCAACTGTCCAATTCATGGTCAAAAAGCATAATCGATCAATCAAAATTATATAACATCCTAGAGAATAGCTATNTATGTTATATAACTGAGGGAATCATTAAACTCTATGCATTTGATTACCATTTTGGTCAATAACGCTTTATTATACGAATAGCATTTAGGAGCAACCTATGCTCAGGGCTCTCAACGATCCCATGATTGTATCGTCTGCTGAAGCTTTCAGTGACAAAAACATTCATTCATTGTCTATTAATGGTGTGGTATTTTCAAATATTGGAATAATGGAGCAAAATTTTGGGTCTGAGAAAAGTGCGTGTGTTCTTTAAAGTTGTTGGTGTGTGCATTCGATGGTAAATTTCCATTTGTGATGTGTGATCTTTCTAGGAACACTGAAAAAGCTGATGCTTTACAGCAGCAGGCATGCGTTTTCAAATTAACATTACCCTCAAACTCAGCCAGAAACGTAATATTTCCAGTTGGTGTTTCAAATGTTACTATCCATACGGCCACAGTGGGTAGTGCGAGATGAGCACCTTAAGAGATATCTGATGATAACATGAAGGATGTACAATATATATTTACTTAATTTTAGAATCAAAAGTGACGCTATCCATCATTCATCAATTGGTAGTTATTGAAAACGGTAAGGAGCTGAACCATTTCAAGCTTACACATTGATTGTTGTTGTAAGTTCAAAACAAATTTTAATTCAAACAGTGAACATTTTATTCGCATAGTCAAGGTGAGCAGTTCGTTCGGTTGACTGAGATGAGTTTAGTTGATCAATCGTTTCAAATCGCTTTCGTTGAAAAACAGTTTCGATTTAGAAGCTTTAGTTATGTCTGATAGTAACATCATTATATTGAGTATCAGTCTTGATAAGGCTGACGCTGATGATGTTATTGTCGTTTGTCGTTATTGCTATAAAACAATTTTGATGGCATTTCCCTGTACATTAGACTTTTGCTGAAGTTTTTCTGCAATTCATTTTGGTTCCGCATTTTTTATTTGAATATCGAATTGACTGTTAATCAAAAGATTCTATAACCTCATTCGTTTTTTAAAACTCATCCATAAAAAAGCACGTGGAATGATAATTTATAGAGATGAAGTGGTTACTTCCCCATTCATTGCTTGCTCAATACATCGAGCTGTAATCCTTATCACTTAAATGTTATCATTTTTATTACGGCTATTTGAACATCATTGAATATTTCGATTTTGATATGCACATATTCACTATCATTGTAACTTTTATTTTTACTATTATGATAATATTCACTTCGGTTATCAGCCTATAAACATATTCCTATTTTTATTTATATTTATCGTTAATGATCACATTCGATCACAATTCGAAAATTGTGCATTCTCTATCTTATCATGCTTTTGGGATGGTTTTGTTGGTTTTTTTGCTTATCGAAGCAGTTTAACGATTAAAGGTTGTTTACAAGCCATTGTTTATCACATTTGTGCTGAAAATGATATGATAATAACGGTCGTGATAACAATGAGGATCATCAGTTTCTGTCAATGATGTTAGTAACACGGAGAATAATCAGTGATGAGTATGCTACTGAAAAAAGTAGCTCCGCTAATCGATAATTCGCTAATGAAGTATTTTTGGTCCACAAAAAATGATCCGCTAAAACGCTACTCGTCAGTAAAATTATTTTGCTAAATGTCATCACTTATTGCTACTTTCAAANAGAACGCTACTCGTCAGTAAAATTATTTTGCTAAATGTCATCACTTATTGCTACTTTCAAATTTTTTTAAAATTTGCATTCGTGCTGCTGAGTTGTCTGAGAAAAAGCCGTTAAAAATTTGGCAAAACCTTTTCGGAGTTCTTCTGAAATGTCGAATTTTATACGAATGCAGTCCACTAATCAAAAAAGTACGATAATATAAATAACCAAAATGAGAAGTCATCTCTTCGACCTCCCAAATTAATAACCGGTTCCGTCGAGTCTAGCATGTTAAGGATGTTGAGAGTTGTATACCATTTCATGCTTGTTTTCGTGCGAAAATAATAATAAAGAGGCAAGTGAAGTGAGTGTCGTAGTAAATTACGGCAATTAGGATGGTTGCTGTAGCCAACAGTCAAGGTCTTGAAGAATTCATAATGAGATAATCAAATTTCTTCAGAAACGCCTTAACCATTCACAACTCCTTTCCGTAGTTGATGATAATATCACGGAACATGCAATAAAATTTGGAAACCCTTCAGTTAAGATAGATGTTTTGATAATGATGTGATGTGATTCATACAACATACTAACGTAATCAGTTGAAAACCCAGCAAAAATGATTGCTTCTTTATGAACGTACCCTAAACATTTTTGAGGCCAGGAATCGGGACTTTGGGAAAAGACTCGGATCACCTGGCTTAGTTAAGTGATCAAATTGTTCCATCCTTGCGATACATAACTTCCGATTCAACAACTCGGAATCGTTTCCCTGTGGCTTGTCGACTTGAGATTAGCCTAACGAATGTAGATTAAAATAAATGACAAGGTATAGGTCAATATGCTCCAAGAACGTCAACTAATTCACAGAAATATGCGCATCACGTAAGGATTGAATATCATGATGTGGGAAAAAATAAGCATTCCGTTGCGGACGAAAAGTAGTCTGAAAAGTGGAAGTCTGAAAAAGTTGCGCACTAAAGCGCTAATGAGGGAGAACACGTAAGATACGGCTGC